CCTACAAAATAAGAAAAAGATAGACAACTCCATGGAAAAGACAGAAAATTTGAAGAGACACTTTTAAAAAGAGAAAACAGTCCATAAATACAAGGTGCTCAACTTCATTAATAATCCAGGGAATTAAAACCATAAGAAAATACATACACCTACCTGATAGACAAAAATTAAATACACAATATCAAATATTAGAAAGGATGTGGAGCAATGGAAAGTCTAATAACACTGGTAAGGGACTTCCGTGGTGGCACAGTTGTTAAGAATCCACCTGCCAATGCAGGGGACACGGGTTCGATCCCTGATCTGGGAAGATCCCACATGTCGCGGAGCAACTAAGCCCGTGTGCCACAACTACTGAGCCTGCACTCTAGAGCCCACGAGCCGCAATTACTGAGCCCACGTGCCACAACTACTGAAGCCTGTGCACCCTAGAGCCCGTGCGCCACAACTACTGAGCCCACGCGCTGCAACTACTGAAGCCTGCGTGTTCTAGGTCCCACATGCCGCAAATACTGAGCCCGTGTGCCTAGAGCCCGTGCTCCGCAACAAGAGAAGCCACCGCAATGAGAAGCCCATGCACCTCAATGAAGAGGAGCCGCTGCTCACTTCAACTAGAAGTGAGCAATGAAGACCCAACGCAGCCAAAAAATAAAAATTAAATAAAATAAATAAACAAACAAACACTGGTAGGAGTGCAACCACTTTTGAAGACAATTTGGCATTAGATCGAAAAGTAAAACCTATACATATCCTTAGACCCAATAGTTCTACTCTTAGTTATATACAAACTTACGAACATGTGCAGCAGGGAATATGAACAAGAACATTCACAGCAACATTAATAGCTCAAAACTGAAACCAACATAAATGTCATCAAAAGCAGGATGGATAAACTGTGGCACAATCATACAATGGAATATTCTATGGCAACAAAATAAATTTTTATTAACAATTATAAAATTATTTAAAAATTTTAAAAACCTGTATTTACAATATGGAAGAATCTCACAAACGTAATGTTGAACTAAATGAGAAAGACAAAGTAGAATACACAAACTACCATCCCGTTTATAGAGTTCAAAACCAAGCAAAACTGCACTACATTACTTACAGGTTGCATATATGGGTAAATTAGGAAGACAAGAGAATTATTATTACACAAAACAGGAAAACAGTTACCTCTAGTGTAGGGAGGAGGTTATGATGAGGGAAGCATACTTCTGGGGTACTAGTAAGTACCCCAGATTTCTTGATTTGGATGACAGTTACATGTAATTATAATTTTATAATTATTCTTTACATTTATATAATTTTAATGTAAAATTAAACTTTATAAGTTTTCTTTGTATTTATATATATATATATATACACACACACTATGTAGTTTGAAAAATGTATCTACTTTCACATATGAAATTTTTTTGAAAGAAAATTAGCAACAAATAACAAATAAAGGATTAATATTAAAAACACATAAAGTTCCTGTGAACAAATGATCAGGGAGTATAAACACATAGTTCACCAGAATATACAAAGACAAAATAATCTCATGGAAAAATGTTCAATTCTTCTAATAATTAATAGCATGAAGCAACATTTCACACCTATTAAACCAGGAAGGAGGGTGGGATAATGTGATAATTTACAAGATAAATGACTACCATGGAGACTAAGAAGCTACATGGAATAATTTAAAACTGAAAAAAACTCAGTAAATTATGAGTATATTAGGCTTACAGTAATAAATTTGCATAGTTAAAATTTAGAAAATTAAAAATTTAAATTTTATGAAAAAATAAAAATAGCTGAAGTGTTTGGAAGACAGGATTATGACTGCAATATTTTTCTTGACATTGAGAATATGGTTCATTAAGATATAGGACTTGGGCTTCCCTGGTGGCGCAGTGGTTGAGAGTCCACCTGCCGATGCAGGGGACACGGGTTCGCGCCTCGGTCTGGGAAGATCCCACATGCCACGGAGCGGCTGGGCCCGTGAACCATGGCCGCTGGGCCTGTGCGTCCGGAGCCTGTGCTCCGCAACGGGAGAGGCCACAACGGTGAGAGGCCCGCATACCGCAAAAAAAAAAAAAAAAAAAAAAGATATAGGACTTTTTAGACAAAGTAAACTTAATAGTTCCCTGCCATTCTAGAGAACAAAGTCTATATGTCATAACACCAAGAACTTCCATTAGTTGATTATGACTTGTATTTTCACTCTGTGCCAGGGATTGTAGGAGGCACTAGAGGACAGAGAAAAGAAATAATTACTTCCTTCAATGAGCTTCTAGACTAGCAGGAAACAGACATGTCAATAAAAAATTACAATGAAATGGGTAAGTCCTATAATAAAGTCTTTTCTTAAAAGTCTTATGGCTTCCCAGATGAAGGTAAAACTCAGGAAAATCATAGAGCAGTTTTCCAAAGAACACTGAATTGGATCTTGAAGGACAATTGGAACCTTCCAAACAGGGTGGAGGTTGTGAAGGGTAGTCTATACACTATTCATGCAAAGACTGAGGCAGACTAGCAGGTGGTTAGAGGAGACTGCTCAAAGGCCTCATGTATCATGCTACAGGCAATGGAGACCCACAGGGTCTTGTGGCATTTAGCTCCCTCAAATATTCTACAATTACACTGGACCTCTTTTTCTACCCTTCCTTCCCTTAAAAGGAATATATACAGAATATAACCCAAAGCAATATACAGATGTAATGCAATCCCACAATATTTTTCACAGAATTGAAACAAATACTCCTGAAATTCACATGGAATCATGAAAGACCCTGAAGTGCCAAAGCAATCTTGAGAAAAAAGAACAAAACTGGAGGTACTGCCCTCCCAGGCGTCACACTATACTACAAAGCTACAGTAATCAAAACAGCATGGTACTGGCACAAGAACAGACACATAGATCAATGCAACAGAACAGTGAGCCCAGAAATAAAACCCACACACCTATGGTCAATTAATCTACAATAAAGAAGGCAAGAATATACAATGGAGAAAGGACAGTCTCTTCGACAAGTGGTGCTGGTAAACAAAAAACCCAATCAAAAAGTGCGCAGAAGATCTAAATAGACATTTTTCCAAAGAAGACATACAGATGGCTAACAGGTACATGAGAAGATGCTTAACACTGCTAATTATTAGAGAAATGCAAATCAAAACAAGAATGAGATATCACCTCACATCTGTCAGAATGGCTGTCATCAAAAAGCCTACAAATAACAAATGCTGGGGAATTCCCTGGGGGGCAGGGTCCAGTGGTTAGGACTCCACGCTTCCATTGCAGGGGGCACAGGTTTGATTCCTGGTCGGGGAACTAAGATCCCACAAGCTGTGGGGTGCAGCCAAAAAAAAGAAAAAAAACCCAAAAAACAAATAACAAATGTTGGAGAGGAAGTGGAAAAAAGGGAACCCTTGTACACTCTTTTTTTTTTTTTTTTGCGGTACGTGGGCCTCTCACTCTTGTGGCCTCTCCCGCTGCGGAGCACAGGCTCCGGACACGCAGGCTCAGCGGCCATGGCTCACGGGCCCAGCCGCTCCACGGCATGTGGTATCTTCCCAGACCGGGGCACGAACCCGTGTCCCCTGCATCGGCAGGCGGACTCTCAACCACTGCGCCACCAGGGAAGCCCCCCTTGTACACTCTTAATGGGAATGGTGCAGCCACTATGGAAAACAATATGGAAGTTCCTCAAAAATTGACAATTGAATTACCATTTGATCCAGAAATTGCACTTCTAGGTATATAACCAGAAAAAATGAAAACACGAATTCAAAAAGATACATGCACCATATTTCTCCTACCAGACTACAAGCTACTTTCTGACAGCAGCCTGGCTAACTAAACGTTGGCTCAATTTAATACTATTTACTATTCCTCACACAGAATACTCTATCTCCCGCCTTCTCCAATTTCTGGTCGCTCACACAGTCTCTCTCATTACTGCCCGTTCATCTTGACAGGGGCACAGGAGTGCTATTTATCCACGCTGGTGGCACCAGGAGCTGTCAGGTACCTGCTCCATCTCAGGCCACTAGGTGTCCAAAGTGCCAAGTAACCTAAGGGCAGGTGAGGGGTAAGGGTGAAATCCCCATGTTGTGCAAGATGTTTTGGAGTCAGGCAGTTCTTGGTTCAAATCCTATTTCTAGCATTTAATCACCAAATGCCCTTTCATCACAGAGACAATTGTTTGTGCTTCAGAGTCTCCATGTATAAAATGAGGACAATCTTATCCAGTTCTCTGGGTGGTTATAATAGAACCCTTACTATGTTGTCAAGTACTCTTTGAAGCACTTATTGCATATATTAAGTCGTTCAATAATAACAAAATCTCCAGGAGGTAGAGTAGGTCACTTCCCTCATATGACAAAAGGAAACTGAGGCACTTTAAGTAACAGTTGGATAGTCACATAGCTAGTACATGCAGGAGCCGGCTTCCGAACTCAGGCAATCTGATACAGTCTGTGTCCTTAACCATTTCCCTTTGCTGGGGTATTGCGAAGCTACAACTATAAGGTAAAGGGGTGCCGGGCACGTGGCACACAGTAGATACTAAGAATACATGCAGCCTGGCTCATGATTGTAGAAAGCCATAGACAAAGTACAGAGTTTTGGTTATCCCTCGGGAGGGAAATGGGGGTAGTGCCAGAAATCTGGGAAGTGACTGTTCTGTGCCAGGCATCTTAGTAGGCACTGGAGTACACGAACAAGAACATACTGGGTGCTAGGCCGGTTCTGCCACCAAGGTCCTGGGACAGCCTGGCAAAGCTCGCCCCCGCCCCCAGGCTTCTGTTTCCCCATCTGAGGATCTATGTGCGTCTGCGCTCTCCTTGCATGCTGTTCGCCCGACGAGAGGACTCAGCAGGCCTAGCCGAACGGGGGAGGAAAACGGGAGGAACCGGAGAGGCCTTCCTCTCCAGCCCCGGGCCGCGTAGCCAGTAGCGGGGCTGGGACAGGAGGACGGGCCCAAAAGTCAGCGCGCGCCGGTACTCACCTCTCCCAGTCTCGAAGCGGGCGGAACCACGATACAAACTGCCCGCGCCGCAGCCGCGCCCTGACGCCGCGCGCCAGCTCACTTCACGCCGGAAGTAGGCGGATTCCGATTGGCTGCGTCCTGAAGAAGCCGACCAATACCGTCGCCCTGTGGCACCTTTCCCCGCCCCCGTGGGCTGCTGGGGCGGGGTCCCCGTAAGGGTCTGAGAAGGAAGGGCACGTATTCCCAAAGCCCAATCAGAGCCTGGAATGCAAGGTCAGATGACTACGGTTGAACCCAGGGCTTCCGGGGCTGGTGGGGTTCTTTGATTTAAGTATGTTACGTGGCGTCGATAAAGACTTAAGTAAAGCACGCACCTGGAATTGGACCGTGGCGGTATTGAAAACCCTGGAGTTTAAGCGAGCCTGAGATTTACTAGTTCCCACAGACCAGGCCAAGGCTCTACACCCCGATCTCTTTGGTTCTGACCGTCTGTCTCTGAGGCTTCGGCTGTCCTCTCCACCCTCCTGGTAACGCTGGCCTCTGCCCCACCCGTTCTCTTCTAAATGAGCAACTGGAAATTGTCATTGACGGAGAAAGGGGTATCAAACTCAGATGCCTCTAGGGACGTGTGCAGTACCTGAGGTTCCAGCTGATTGTTTCCACGAGGGACTGTGGGCCCTGTGATGCCAGATCTTTCTTTTCTTCCTTCATTTATTTCTCTTTTAAGAAAAACTTAAAATCTGCTTCTGCCCTGTTTTGTGTGTGATATCTGCCTTTTTTTAAAATGTTACAAAAACAAAACCGAACGGTGCAGCCAATCAAAACGCATCGCTGTTAAATTACTCTGTAGGAAAAAGCAAAAGCAGAGTAAGTTAAGCAGACTTTTAATAGCAAAAAAGGCCACATAGGAAGCAGGATAGGGACAAAGCCCAGGTGTGAATAATTTACCAAAAGAATAAAGCCTCTAACATTTAGACTCAAAGGGTACACAAGCTATAAGAATGCTGACCCATGTTATGGAGGCACCTAGGATGGCAGATTTGCACACACACAATGAAAGCTATGGAGCCCAAAAGAATCAGATATTCCAGAAGGGTGTGCTAGACAGCACCTTGTTTTTCACTGGATACTCAGTAATGTTTTTTAGACCATTTCAAAGTTTTTCACAGTTTTCCTCTACTTTACACAGTAATAAAAGAGAAAACTACTGGTACACAAACAGATGAAGCTCACAGATACTATGTTCAGGGTAAAAAAAGGCAGACAAAAAAAGAGTATATACTGTATGATACCAGCTTACTCTGGGGGTAGAGGTAGACTAGATAGACTTAGTAAGGTAAGGCTTTCAGAAGGTGTCCTGATACCTGCGAGATAAATAACAGGTATGATTTGAAGGCAAAGGCCATGAAACTGGAAAGACTAACTGTCAGGAAAAGGGGAAATAGAGAGAAATGGTACACAAGAGGAAACAGACAACAGACCTGTCAGGAAAAGGGGAAATAGAAATGGTACACAAGAGGAAACAGACAACAGACCTCAAGTTTGGACTTCACTCTGAAGGTACATGGCAATTGTTGGATTTGGGGGCAAGTGGGATAGGGAGAGTCTTATGTACTAATCTTAAGTAAAATCAATGATTTTACATGTATTTTATATATATATATATATATATATATATATATATATGCCATATATATATCTCCACCACCCAAATCAAGTTATATACCATTTCCAGCACCCCATAAGATTCTCTTGTGGAGCTTCCTTTGTGGAGTCTACCTCTGCCCCCAGCATAAGCTGGTATCATACAGTATATACTCTTTTCTGTCTGCCTTTTTTTTACCCTGAACATAGTATCTGTGTGCTTCATCTGTTTGTGTACCAGTAGTTCATTCTCTTTTATTACTGTGTAATGTAGAGGAAAACTGTGAAAAACTTTGAAATGGTCTAAAAAACATTACCGAGTATCCAGTGAAAAACAAGGTGCTGTCTAGCACACCGTTCTGGGATATCTGATTCTATGAGGGCTCCATACCTTTCATTGTCTTTGAGGTAAAGAATAACTCTGTTAGTTTTTTAAAAGACCTATTCTTGTGTATAGAAATGCAAATTGTGTTCAAGGAGATGTATTTTATTATTGCACTGTGGGTCTGATCAGTTCTGCCAGGTTTTGCATCTATTTGTAAAGCATTTCGTTATTCCTCATTTGAATATACATGTGCGTGCGGTACTTTGAATTTTCCTCTGAACTTTGTAATATCTTTCTGGGTCTCTCATTAATTAATGACTTAAATAAAACCTTTGACACATTCATTTTATATCTGTGTGAGTCATGATTATACTAGATTTTAAAAATTATTCTTTAACAAGTGTATGCAATTGTATAAACACACCACAGTTTATTAATCCATTCATCTACTGATGGGCATTTGCGTTTTTTCCCTTTGCCTATTATAAAGCCGCAATGGATGTTTTTGTATAGGTCTTTTCGTGAATATATGCATTAATTTTTCTTGGGTAAGTATCTAGGAATGGGATTTCTGGGTCATAGGGTAACTGGTAAAAATGGACTTGTTTTCAAAGTGATTGTACCATTTTACATTCCCACCAACACTGTATGAGTTCCTTATTTTCTGCATCCCTGCCAACACTTGGAATTGTCAGTCTTTTCCATTTTAGCTATCTGTAGATATTCTATGGTATCTCATTGTGGTTTAATTTACCATATGTTTTTATGAGGGAAGGGACTGAACAGAAAGCTCTTTCTGGCTGTTATGTAGAGAATGATATTTGTACACCAAAGCTCATAGCAGCATTATTCACAATAGTCAAAATGTGGAAAGAAACCAAGTGCAGATGAGTGGATAAACAAATGTGGTATATACATGCAATGGAATATTATTTGGTCTTAAAAAGGAATGAAATATATGCCACAACATGAATTAACTTCGAAGACATTATGCTAAATGAAATAAGCCAGTCACAAAGAGACAAATATTTTATGATTCTACTTACATGAGGTACCTAGAATTCAGAGAGAGAACACAGAATAACGGTTACTAGGATTTGGGGGTGAGGAGGTGTCATAAGGAGTTACTGTTTAATAGGTAGTGTTTCTGTTTGGGGTGATGAAAAAGTTCTTGAGATGGATAGTGATTATGGTTGCATAACAATGCAAATGTAATTGATGCCACTGAACCGTACATTTAGAAATGGTTAAAATGGTAAAATTTATATCACATACACTTTAACGCACACACACAGATGCACATACGTGCACAAACCTGGTGTTCCAGTTCTGAGAACTCAGCAGTGGCAGCTCCTGTCTCAACTGTAACTGCAGAATTTTAATTTATGGAAGTGATTGAGTGACAGCACGGAGAGAAGTGATGCCATTGAAAGAAGAATTTATTACTTATGTTTCCCAAGAAGAGGAGGCACACCACATGTGGCCACATGGGGAAGCATCAGGCTTGGTCAAGAGGCAGAAAGGAGCAAGGGGAAAGCCAAAGTCAGAGCCTTTACTGGGGTTTCTGCAGGAAAGGCAAGCTATAGCGGGGAAAATAGCTTAGGATCGGCTAGTTTAAATAATTCTTTTGAACTGTGGGGGACAGGAACTGTTCCTAGATGTCTGGTACCTGGCCTTGGGTTGATTTAGGGCAGGGGAAATATTGACATGTTGTGTGGGATTAGATAAAGGAGGTGGTTGTGGATATGAACTCGAGATTGGTTGGAGAGTTTGTAATATGACTTGCATGCTCACAAAAGCAGGATTGTAGGGGAGATGTAAACAACCTTCGTTATTAATTTGGCCCTGTGGTTAACAGATGTCAAAAGGCTAAATACAGAATCTAAGAAAACACAAAACAATTGGCTCTGTGGTTATCTGGCATCACTTTAAGAAACTTTGGGGTGATTATAAGGAGACTTTTATGGAGTAAGGCATAGGATGTCCTAAACGATACAGGAAACATTTTATTATGAAAGTAGAAAGAAGGAACACAGGTAGAAGTATAAAGAGTGCTTCTAGGTCAGTCCATAATTGACTGGAAAAACTGGTTTTCCATTTATATGGCATTAGGCAAGAAAATAGATCTGAAATTTCAGGAGTCTCTAATAATATTTTGGTGGAGTTGTACAGTATGTTAAAAGTATGAGTGACAATAACGTCTTGGTGTATTTCTTGGGTCAGGCAGTTATGTTGTGGGAGGGTATGAGCTGATAATTTAGCAAAGTATACGTAAAGATTAGTGGTATTGTGTGTAACCAAGGGGAAGGAGAGGTCATGTTCGAGATGCAGAGCACAAGTAGGACACAGCACTGGGGAGTGAGTGGTCCTCTCCCCAAGGGGTCAACGGGTTGACTGACATGGGGGAGGTGCCTTCTGGGGAAAGTAATAATCTCTATAAGTTTTAGAATGGCACAGATAGTAATAATCTCCACAAAATTTCCCTTTAGGCATGGGAGTTTAGGGGTGTATGTTTTGGCAGAGAACAAGGGATATACCAAGAGTCACAAGCTAAGCAGACAGCAAGCTCAGAAATAGAATATCTAATATCAAAGGAAGAAAAGCAAAACTGCCCTGTGTCCAGTTTTTACCTTAGGAGAGGCCATCCATGGGCATCACTGGGGTGGAGGTTTCAGTGTCCAGGTGAAGTCATCTCTGTCACAGGAGGGCAAATCATTTCCAAAGGTGAGGTCTTGAGTTGGGGTGATGGCATCTCCAGTGGTGAACTCCTGGGCCAGGGCAATGCCATCTGGGATATGGGACTTGGGATATCCCTTTGAAGTGGGCATCCACTCAGGTTAGTGTGGATCTTAGCATTTGCCACGCTTGGTTGAAACAACGGAGCTTGGAGAATTTGGCCCGTGGATTGTAAACGAATGAAAGTGCCCCAACTTTCTGTAATCAACAGAAAGTATACAGCTGCACTTGTTTTTTTAGCTTTGTTTATGGTGGAAGTTTGGGTTCAGCTGGGTCCCATATCAGGCAGGCAGCTGCCTGGCCCATGGGACAATCTATAGTTAATGGGTGTCAGTGGAGTATGAGCCTAGATCTGGTCTCCAGCCCTTATGGAATGGAGACAGGGTTGAAAATTTGCAGATAGGTTAA